CCTAAACCCGAAACCCAGACCATGGAAGGTCTATTCTTCACAAACTGGAGAGCGATGGCTCCCCGGCACGCCGGTCGCGTCCATCGTGGACGGGTTAGTGAACGGCCTGACGACCCCCAACCAGTGGGACGCTTGCCCTGTAGAGTTTAGGGTTTAGGGTTTAGGGTTTTCAAGAGTCTTTAAAGGTTCTACATAGGTCTTATTTAGGGTTCTAGAGGGATATGTAGGATCTTTCAGGGTTGGAGTTTAGGGTACAGGGCTTGCCCGGACCGTTTTAGATTCATATCCCTCTTTGGGGTGTAAAGTGCTGAAAAAATAGAGTTTCCAGACAAGGTTACGGGTTTGGGTTTGGGTTTAGAGGCTAGTTTTTTCATGAGTTCCACTATTGAAGTTCCACCTTATGTAGGCTCATTTAGGGGTAGTTAGCCGCCCGCCGATTGAGCAAATTGAGGGACCTAGGGAGGTACTGCACGAGCGGGGTGGTAAGGAAAGCCATCAGCTTATGCTCCAGATAATTTCAGAAGGGTACTTGGGACCTAATACTGCATTATCTGGGTACTTGGACACTCTAGGCTAAAGTTTAGGTCAATCCCCCCTGCAGTAAGAGCTCCTTAATATGGAATTCATGCTCCTGAACCAAGGAAGACACGTGCCGGGCCATCATCGACGACGGCGTGGAGTTCTTTTGGGAGATTGGCCCCATGAAGCAGCTGAAGGTCCTGCCACGAAATCAGAATGGCCACAGTATGTAGTGGGCGTAGCTGTAAGATCAGTAAGAAAAGGAGGAAACAGATGAGGATGAGGACTACTACTTGGAAGAGGAAGAGGAGCAGTAGCAGCAGTGGTTTTGCTGGACAGATTGTCTGTGGTGTTGAATAATTACCAATGTCAGTTTGGGGTTAGTGTGAACTACCCGGTGCTATTCTTATACAACAAGTCTAGAATCATCATGCGCGATCTTGTGAGGGCCCCTGTAGTACTCGATCCGCGCAACACGAAACTCATGGTGATGCTTGGACCTAGGAAGCAGGAGAAGCAGCTCAGCAACTGTTACTTGCAGTTGAACGTCCTGCACCAAACCTCCAAACCCTCAAGCCCTCAACCCGAAACCCCCTGCCCCGAAACCCCACAACCCTAAGCCCCTCAACCCTTTCTCTGGATGTATGGGGCATTGTCTGGTTCAGGTTTTGGTGCTTCGAGCTTCGGACTTATCAAAATGCATGGGCCCCCGCGTAGTCAAGGCTGTCCAACGTTGGGTGTGTATAGGTTGTGTAATGTCCACCTGCAGATGCAGCGCTAGACCTACAGAAAAAGGGAAGAAGGAAGGTGTCAGCAAGAGTGCTAATGATAGTGTGCTAAACGGATGCCATTGAAGTGCTGACCTTGACGCCCCATGCCCTGAAGCCTCTAAACTTGCATGTCCTAATCGCGATGCAGAAGGCCTGAAACCCGGATCATGGCAAACAGACTTCAAACACTATCTGAACATACCTGAAGACTATGTAGTATCATTTTTGGGCGTTATATAGGGGTTATATAGGGATAATGGAAAAGAAAATGGAAACTACTATTTAGGGTTTAGGGTTTAAAACCCTAAACCCTAAACCCTAAACCCTTAAGTTTCTCAGAATTAAGCCTAGGTATGCATACATCCCAAACACAGTTGTCATGAGCCTGGCCCTGGCAAGCTGGCTGATCCCCAAAGGGTGAAGGGTTTAGGATAAACCTTAAGGGGTTTAGGGGGTTTAAGGGTTTAGGGTTTAGGGTTTAGGGTTTAAGGGTTTAGGGTTTAGGGTTCAAGGGTTTAGGGTTTGGTTTAAGGGTTTAGGGTTTAAGGGTTTAGGGTTTAGGGTGTATGGTGAACTTCAAAGGGTTCGCGGTCCAGGCCATGATGCGCCATATCGACTACCACCAGTGGAAGAGCATGAAATGCATTGACTGCTAAGAGCATTTTCACCGGCATGTGCCTTAAGTGTCAACTCTTCTTTCTGTTGTAACCATAAACGCTAAACAGGGGCAGTTTTGAAATTATGTCTTAAACTCATTCCCTCAATCCCTTCTTCATCCTTGTAAAGCAATGATTTTTCTAATAGGGTTTAACCAATAAATCCTAAACCCTAAATCCTACCCCCTAAACCCTATAACCCTAAACCCTAAACCGTGTTCAGGGAGACCTTAGTAATGGCACATGCCGGGACAGAGCTTGTAGGTTGAAGGTGGAAGACACAGGCATGCCATGGGCTTAGGGTATAGGGTTTTAGGGTTT